CAATCCTTTCTAATTATATCTGGTAGATTAAAAACAAAACGCAAATGACACCAAAAATATCATGGAAAATAAGGAAAGAACATCAGCCTACAACAATCAATCCAAAAACTGTAAACTTTACTCGTAGGAAAAAATAACTATTAACTTCCCAGGCCAAAATAAATTACTAAATAAGTGATCAGAATTCATCTCAAAAATACTTTCTCCGTTACTTAAAAATCGAAAAGAATAAATAAAAATATATAAAATAAAAATAAATAGGAAAAAGTAAAATAAATTAATCCAAATAAATAAACAAAGTAACAAACCGCTCCCGCCAAAATAACAGTTCGAATAAATTAAATAAATAAGCAAAAACAAGTAAAATTAATCAATACAAATAAGTAAATAAAATATTAAAGAAATTAACAAACCACTCCCGCTAAAATAACAGTTAGAATAGACTACAACAATCAATCCAAAAATTAGACGAAAAAATAATTTATTACCTTCCCAAACAAACTATTAAAAATAACTAATCTAAAAAAAACTAGTCTAAAAAAATTTACTACAGTACTAAAACATCGAAAACCAAAAAGAATAAATAAATATATAAATATATAAAATAAAAATAAATAAATAAAAGCAAGCAAAATAAATTAATCAAAATAAATAAATGAATAAACAAACCACTTCCGCCAAAATAACCGTTAGAATGGACTACCCACAATGCACCACTGCCCCATATATATAAATAGTTGAGAAAAAACCAACACATGTGGCCTGATGATTGCGTCTAGTATGAAACAGTCTGTAGCCTCTGAGTGTTGACTTCGATGTTCACATTATATTTACATACGTTCTATCCCTTATATATATATATATATATATATATATATAATTATGACATTTTGAGAAACGAGATATTTGTTATTATTCCATTAATACTTTTTATTTACATCAAATGATCTTACAGTATAAAAATTTCAAAGGAGCTGACTTTTCAAATCAGCAAGAAACATTACCTTTTTTCCAGAATTCATCTTCTCCAGTTAATTATGACCATACCTCTGACGTCTGTTGTCTATTCCTGGGTATGACGATAAAAATAAATTTACTAGCAAGGCCTCTAATCATGAGAGTGATGGTTTTGAGGAGAGTGGAACCACCTCTTAAATTTTGTTGTTCCCTGGTCCACCCTAATCCAGGGTTGTAGCACCTGTTCGGGTCGAACTATGTTCAAATATGAACCCCCTTAAAGAACACTATGAAAGTATAAAAATACATTTTTATAGTAAAAATAACAGCAATTCTTTTATTTTATATAAAAATGACCAACCATACATATTTATAGTAAAAGCACAAAGCGTACATTTTTAAAGCAAAATAACTAGCAATAAATTTTATCTTTGCTAGAATGTATAAAATAGTGTTCACAATGTATTTCGTTGATAACAAAAAATTGTGTTCAGATTATTTAGATTTAGGCATTAAATAACCGATAGAGGTTGACAAGTCCCTAAACAACACCAACCAACCATCCAACGACTGTAGTCAATGTGATTCTAAATTATAATTAACTCTTTAAAACTAGTTTCATCTTTGTTTTTTTAATTCCATTTGACAGGGCCACACGGAAAACCCTATTTTTTTCACCTGGTACAAATATTTTCATCTTGATGACTTATCTTTTTATTTTTATCTAGCGACTGAAAATGTATCGTTTAAATTTTCTGATAAGAATTTTCCTGAATAAATGCAAAATCATTGAACAATGAATAAAATAAGAAAATATACCTTCTTTAGTATTAATATTGTGCTGATATAATTTTCGGGGGATTCTTCAAAATGATCACAGTTATATTATTCGTAGAAACAACAGAATGAATATTCAAGCCGCCATTTTCAATCGACTCTTCTTCGAAAACCGGAAGCAACTTCAAAGCCTGAGAAAGTGGCAGATGAAACATGGTCGGGCGATGAATATAACTAGATTATTAATTGTTGTGGAAGTAGAAAAACACATGAAAGAACACAGGGGAATATTGTTTAATTTAGTTGATTGAAGATTGTTAAATTATATTTTTTATCAGAATTTCCTCTCCATCATTTTCTCAAATTATGTGTATATTAAAATATATATATATATATATATATATATATATATATATATATATATATATATATATGTGTGTGTGTGTGTGTGTGTGTGCATGTGTGTGTGTGTCTGAGCATGATTTAGTGAGTGTTTAGAATTTTCGTTATTTATAAAAGAAGACTTAATATCGTACATACTTTAGCAGTATACTGTGAGGACATAGGAATTATCACTTCGTAGTTACTGGTAGTTTCACACATTAAGTGATAATCAAAAATACGCTCTTATGTTCGTTCAAGGCGATCATAAGATAATACGCAGTATCAAATTTTATACGCTTATTAGTTTATACGTATCATTATTAGTTTATACATGGCCGAGTGGTTATAACGTGTGCTTTTCCGAGTGATTATAACGTTCACTTTTCGACTATGCGTATTATTACTATAGCAGTATAAAAGAAATTCAAAACTTGAACAAACCAATTCACTTGCACGCTAAATAATTCAAATAGATACATTGATTGCACAACCACAACCTTATCGCGTGGATTAACTTGCCGTTCTTTCGATAATAGTTCAATTACATCTCATATCACAGCACAAAAACACAACAGCAATAAATTCGAGAAATCATCATCAATAAAAAATATTATATCACCTGAATTTATTGCAAACATAATAGTAAGTCTGAGCTGTTCCATAAGTTCAAATTCACTGTTGATCTAAAAAAATAACCCACTTTCTTTTGATAAATAGGACAAATAATGTCTTGCTAATTTTAACGCATCGAAAATTAAACTGCTCTCTTTTTATCGTCTTGAGAGAACTCTTTTTAACTTCTATCAGCATGGCTGATGCTAACCTGCAGGAGTGAAACTGATTGCGCCATCTAGGACTAACATTTTCCGTTGATATGAAGTGGAAAGATTATATTAAGTCAGTTGCTCGGTCTGCTGCTAGGAAAGTTGGTTCCTGGTCGCCTGCTAGATATTTTTTCTCGCCACAATCTATCTTACATATTTATAAGTCTATCATTCGGCCTTGCTTTGAATATGCTGACATATCTTTCTGGAGCTCCTGCTAAATATTTAGAGATTCTAGACAAAATCCAAAGAAGAATGTGCCATGTTATTGGTCCTGACATGACATCTCGATTTCAGTCATTTTTCCACCAAAAATGATTTAGCTTGCCTGTAACTTTTCTATAAATACTCTTAAGCTAATTATTCTGAGGAACTTTTCTCTATGGTATCTAGACTTTATGAATTTGATCGCAGTGCCAGATTAGCGGCAAGGTCTTCATCGTTTTACAGTTGAAAGTGCTAGATGCTACCGTAAGTTCTATGCTTAGAGGGCTTTTTTTCGGTCGTACTTCTCGCTTGTGGAACTCTCTTTTCTCTTCTTGCTCCTCGGCCAATTTTGATCTTCAAAAATTTAATGTAATATTAATCGTTTTTTTCTGGCTTCTTAAGTATTGTTCTTTTATTGCCCTGTCTCCTTAATAGTATCTTTTTTACTCATATTATCTCACACTCAGTAACTCCTTGAGTTATAGTGGCTTTATTGCCTTTCATGAGGAATGTGATTTAAAATATATATCGCATCTTCACATGTCATGCATGATTTTTTAAAATATCTCGTCTCAGGTGTCAGTTGAAGGAGTCGAGTGGCAAGAAAAATGAATCTCCGTAAGGTTGGATATCTCGCCGGCTGCAAGACCTTCTCCTGCATCTCTCGTCATGTTTCAATGTCCATCTGAGAACAGGGGATGTCGAAAATTCTCCCAAATCTCCGTTCGTGATTCAGAGGTAGATGGGAAAGAAAAGAAGGAAAATTTACAATAGCGTACTTCTTTGTGTATAATACAACTTGAGTATAATACAACCCCGTATTTCTTAATTTAAAAAGAGGGAATAAATTACACCCTTGAATATATTACGACCCCGGAGTCGAGCATACACTTTGTAGTTTCTTTTATAAACGTGTACCGTATTATCCATTAAAATCTGAATGTCGTAAATGTATTTAAGTAAAATATTTAATTTTTCGCGATATTAAAGAATAGAAATGAATCGAATATTTAACCATGGAGTGTTTCTCCTAATTTCCGTTTTAAAACTTATTTTCGAGTTTTCAGTGAAAGGTGCTAACTATACATATCCGGTTATACATTTTAAGGTGTTAATTAATCTATCATACTTTTCTCTTTGATATGATTTTATTATATTTCTATATATTATTAATCTATGAAAATGAGAACATGTCTCATTAAGAATAAAGAGAGAAAATTTTATAAAAAGACAAAAAATCAAAATATAAACAAACTTTATCTTTTGAGCAAAACTCTTCGAATTTTAAACATGTCTCAACAAACGGAGGAATATAAAACAACATGGGAATCATTGGCCCACATATCAAGTTTAAAGAAAAAATTAAAAAAGTACATAATTTATACAATACTCCGGGTTTTGTTGTAACATTATCAAAATATGATAGATCTTGTGTATTACTTTTATAAATTTGTTTAATCAGTCTCTGTACATGTCTTCGAGACAAAAGACACTCAATATCAATTACGCTGATTCCCAACATACTTTACCTTTTGTAAACAATTGTCATCAACATTTGCTTACATTGTGTTTATTAGATATTGTCTTAATTGAGTGTACATGCAGTTTTGCTGTTTCAAATAAGAGGAGGTTTAAAGTGTGTGAAAATTATGAACACGTGTACTCATGTATAGTACGGCACCTACCTTTTTTTCTTTGGTTTTTGTTCAAAACTTCTTTTGTTAAAACTTATAAGTGAATGCTAGGTAAGATATCTCTTTGTATAAGTCCTCATTCCGAATGAGAGCTGAGAATGTCACCAAACCCAATCGCATTTTGTTTCATTTACTCTATCCTTTTTTCTTTACCTATATCACTTTGAAACACCGGTTCTCGTTCGATCACAGAAGTTAAGCATCGTCGAGCCTGGTCAGTACCTAGATAGGTGACCGCCTGGGAATACCAGGTGCTGTAAGCTTGGCCGTACGAGTGGTGAAATGGAAAATGGTTCGGAATTGTTAATCGGAGAGCCGAGTTCCATTTCCAGTTTGTTCACTTACGCACAAATACGATTGGGAAATAAATTTCTTCTTCCGTTCACCACCAGATATCGGTTAATTATTTTTTTAAAATCAAAAATAACCTGAAAGTGGTTGATAATCCGTAGATAATAAATCCATCAATCTCAGCTCCTCTCTCTTTCTCTGTTTATCTATTAATTACTACCACTCAATCCAAATAGATATCGATCTTCGGTCCAGTTTACGTGTACCGACTGTCTATTAAATGTAGGCATTACGTTGATGAGAGTTAAAAACAATATTAATGCATTGGTTGCATTTGTCTGACTTCCGCTGCTCTGAATGTATTTATACGTCCTTTTGAAAACTTAAATAGCCCGATGTCGACGCATATCTATCTATCTATCTATCTATCTATCTATATATATATATATATATATATATATATATATATATATATATATATATATACGTTTACGAAACGTGGCATATCAGTCCATAACTTCTGTTTTTAAAAATGGCTAGCGCTTAGTGCTATTTCCAAAACCAGAGGATACACGCATTCACTGACATGCAATTTTTTTTACCCAGCTACATAAAATGATTATACACCTTTATTTTATTAAGAAGCCTTGAGGTTTGGAGAATAAGTCGTTACATTTCCGCCGGTATCGTCTAACAGAAAATGCTTGAAGCTGAAACAAAGGCAATGCAAAACTATTGGACCAATAAAAAATTCTACTTGATAAAGTCATGATAATAGGAAAGTTTCAAACTAGGCATTTTCCCATCCTATTAATATAAATGTAACGTGTCTTGGCAAGTCATTGTATTCAAACATGAGCTTGCGTTTTACACTAAAATCATAGCTAAAATTTCTGGTGAAACAAAAATGAAAGGAAAGATGACTCAATGAGAGACAGTCAGGAAGTTACAATAAAAGTTCGAACCATCCAAAAGACGTTTACTAATACTGGAAGTGTTTTAAATCTTAAAAGGACCACAAAAGTTAAACAAGGGAGATGGAAGAAACACTGTGAGAGTGTCGGTAGGTAATCCAAAATTAATAGTCAGACAATTGAGGAATGAATGCCGTCATATCAGCCAGGTTATCAGTTGATACAGTACGCATTGTATTACGATAAAAACAATTTGAACGTGTGTATAGCATCAAAAACAAGGTATGTTAACCAAAAGAACATCAGAATAAAAGATTAAAATGGTTAAACGAACATCTAGCATGGGATGTTGAAAGTGACAAAACGTAATTTTTAACGATAAATGTAAAATTCTAATGCAATGCAATATATAGGAAGACCAGGGAAGAAAGAATCAATGCAAGATACCATCACGAAGGCGGTAAAATTTGGTGTTGGACACGTAATGGTGCAGAAAAATGGTGATGGTAGAAAAAATGTGGTAAAAGTTGATGGAAACCTAAATAGCAAAAACGATATTGACTGCGGTCTAATTTTCTGCCAGATTATGGATACATTTCTCAGCATGGCTGTGCTCCTTGCCTCAAATTAGGTGCAACAATTTTTTTTTGTGGATGAAAATGTTCAACTTTTGGAAGACTTCTAGCACAATGTTCTGATTTCAATATAATTGAAGCATTATGGTGGGAACTGAAGAAACAAGTACTCCAACAAAACACATGCAATCACCCAGAGCTTTTTCTGTATTACTGCCAAGCAAATGAGAAAAATTTCCAGTAAGAAAATTTTAAACTTGTTCTATTCAATGCCACGAAACAATTACTCCAGCCAAAAGCAGCAACACTAATTATTAACTGTATAGATTGAACTTTCTCTAATAATAAAGATCACTTTTTGATAAACAAAATCTTTTTTAAGAAAACCGCTCAAAGGTTAAATGTCCGTTGGTTGTCCAGTACTTCTGCCTTCCCTTTTTTTTCAACATCAATATGCTTCAAATTCTTTACCATCCACCATACAAAGAAAATGCATCAAATTGCTTTCTGGACCACAAAAATATATTGCCAATTACTCTCTATTTGGTAGCAAAATTAAGACAAGTAATTAATTTAGCAATATGTCCCAAATGTTTTGCGCGCCGTATATACGACTTTTTCTAACCTTATTTGTATTATATTGTTATCGTTTATCTTTATCTTGACTGCAGAGTATCTTAACATAAAGAAGATGGGGCCCATAAGAAATCACTAACAGCGTCCTTACAGTCACATATTTTCAGTAAATGGAAATTTAATATTGATCCTAAAACTGACCAGTACATCCAGACAATAACAGATTAAAAATGCAGAAATGAAATTGCTAAAATAATTTTTATCATCCCGATTGAAACTCATTGAATATTGATTTTCAGAATAAGGAAGCCTTCCCTATTAGAAGATGTGGCGCATAATTCATTGCTGATTTTTTTTAATTCCACCTCAGTCGAGAGCATGGACACCACAGGTCTGCAATCCATGATCTCCATATTCTTTTCAATGTATCTATAGTATGTGATTCGCCAGAATCAAATATGATTTTGAATTAAAATGTGTCCTTCGCCTTGAGTGGTTAACTACGGTTAGAAAACCCAGACTAATCTGCTATTTAACCCATAGACTCGAGGTGATGTGATAGATTCATACCTTTCTCAATGTTATTGATATGACAGTGTATCCAATGTAATTAACCTGAATTCGAAATCAACTCACCGATTTCTTTGTCCAAGCCGCTAAGCATTTCGCCACCTGCACATCCCGTCATAGTAGCTGCACTTCCTTAATTTAGCCGACAGTCGTACTGGCCTAAGTATAAAATATGAACACGTAAATTCAAATATTCTCATAAAATCACACGCGTGAATATATATATATATGAATATAAATTATAATGTTTTATTCTTTGGTTAGATTTTGGGCAGAATGCTGGAGAATCTCCTAACAGACTTGAGGCAACAGAAATATGGTTCTACAGAAGGATGCTGAGAATACTATAGACTTAATATGTGAGCAACGTGGACTTTTGAGAAAAAAATGTAAATAAAAAGGAGACTTATACTTAGAATCAAAAAGAGATAATTGATCCTTCTAAAACGCATAATGTATTTTAAGCGGGGTTTTGATGTTGCACAAGGCCAGAAATATGGGGCACCCAGTGAAGATCGAACACATAATAAAGAAAGAGTGCTTGGAAATGTAACACTCATATTGACATGCCAGCAACATGGAGAGAGGAAAGCAGTAAGTAACTTACATAATGTGTTTTTGTAAATGGCTGTCAGAACAGGAATTAGGGAAAAGACGAACATTGCTATGAGCTAAAAAGGTCAAGAACTTGTGGAAAGCCATGATCGTCAAAATCCTGAAGTGAAACTCTACTTTGAATAATTCGAGCTGAGAATTTTACTGTATCCTGTGCATGCCTGTGTGCGTTTATGTGTGCGTGTAAACTTGAACAGGCATCATTAAAATTTGCAAGTGACTTAGAATTAATATATGCCTGTATGCAAATATAAATCGATAGCCATATAAGGAAGGCAGAATATATCAACGAACACGCCCATATATATATATATATATATATATATATATATATATATATATATATATATATATATATATATATATATATATATGAGTTGTCGTCGTTGGCGGAACACTTTGCCAAGTATCACGGTGCTCATAGACATTTCCTTCTCTGTGAAATGTGTCTGTCTTGGTTGGATCTGAAAAGACGTCCACAGCCACTGCATGGTAGGGTAGGTGAATTCAGGGAATGGAAAGCCCTGGCTTTTCTCTGGACGATATCCATCTCTTGTATTTATCTTCTGATGTTTTCAAAGGAAGTTGTTTTTTTGTAGACTGCTCTTCTCCAATTTGTTCTTTAACAACAAGTGAAGGTTATGGAGGCCAAGGTTAATATATGTAAGTAATTGAAGATAAACTTGCACATCCTATCTGTTTCGCCGAAATAAGTTTATTCCGATATGAAAAGAAGAAAATCGATGAACGTGAGAAAAGAGCGTTTCTCTCCGCCCTCCAACTCTACACATCTTTTCCAACTTATTCCAATTAACTAATCGATGAATTTCACCGATCGATTTTAACACCACCGATCCCAACGTTAAAATCTATTTCCTGTTTTAATCGACTGATTTGGAGCCAAAAACTCTTGCCAATTTATTGTAACTTGAAACAGAAAGCCCCCTCTCTAAATTTTTGAATTTCACATCACGAAAAAAACATTTCTCTTCATATATATTTATGGCCGACTTTGGAACAGATAACAAGCATAAATTCTTGTTGTTAACCCTTCAGACGCCCCCTGCGTAGAGCCACAGCATCTCAACGCTAAGGCCACAGATTCACCACGCTAAAAGTAACTGCTGTTTTTTCCGTAGCAAGTAGACTTTTACAGATTAAATTTGAAAGCTCCTGGTTCGAACGGTTTTGGAATTCAGTAATCATTTTCCTAGACTGGTAGCCAACCAAAGCTAAAGAACTCGGTATACGCTACTATAAACATAAACTCCTTACCAGAATGAGAAGAGATGAATTCATACCCATGCAAAGGCCATTCGTGTACCGATCCCAATTTCCACTGGGATAACCACTAAGCTAATCGTTGGCGAAAAAAAAACACACGCGACCCATTAATAATAATAATAATAATAATAATAATAATAATAATAATAAACAATAAGGAGGGAAAGTTGAAACGCGATTAAAAATAAATTTTAATTGTAAATAATTACGATTAAAATAATTCAGAACTTTCGCAAGATTATAAAACAATATGTATATATATATATATATATATATATATATATATATATATGTGTATATATGTATATGTATATGTGTATATATATATATATATATATATATATATATATATATATAAAACATTTGGGCAGCAGCCTTTATTTTAAACATGTTTCGTTAAATATGGCTGGCAATGAGGATTCAATTAATTTTTTAC